TGTCATATGTATGATAATGCAGCCATTCAGGAATCGAGTGCTCTTTGATTGGTTGGTGTGACTCAACACCCATTGGTCGAAAAATAAAACGCGACGGTGAGGGAGTCGATGTCAACAATTAATAGTGTATGTAAGGGACAGACCAAGGGGATATTTGGGTTAAGATCAAAACTCTAGTTTCAGAAGTGTTTTTACGGTATACGAAACACATATGTAAAAGAATTTATCTCAATTTACAAAAAAAATGCTGCTCTAAAAAATGATTATTAGGGTATTTAAACACTCTCGAGTTGTTAACCGGCAGTGAGTTTTACACACACACGAGTATGTGTGCGTACGTGTCATATACGGAGAAAGAGGAGTAATTGAACAGCGAGACCAGCTAGCGTTTTGTGTGAAGCGTGAACACATCATGGAAAGCAGCGTTACGTTGCAGATTCCTGCGCCCACACGCTGCAGATTTATATTACTATTGAATAATAATTACTCCTCTGATCTTTAATATAGGACCAATTTAACTAATTTGATTAGATTGAAAAAATTAGGTAAGTTAGTTAAGTATAAGAAATGTGACACGTTTTTCCTAAAATACCATAATCATCTTTCTTAATATCCTCTTTCCCTATTCTACTTGATTATTGTTGAGGGAGTATCTATAGGGTTAATTTAGATAAAATTGATAAATATGAGAAATGGGTCTTATATTTAGGACCAAAACCAACTCAAGAACTGGGTTCTATATTAAGGACCGGAGGAGTAGTATATATTTTCATTATAACACGGGGATATATATATATATATATAGAGAGAGAGAGAGACTGGGAATATATTGAAAGTATTCCCTCCGTTCCTTATTATAAAGACGAATAACCGATTACGTTGATAAAAAAAAACAGTTAAAATTAGTTAAGAACAATCAATGTGTAAAAAGTATTTTTTTTCCAAAAATACCCTCATTAATAAGGAGAGAGAATAATGGTAAATTATTAAAAGAAAGAGAAGTGGGAAGGAAAGAGAGTGTGAGTTGGAGACAATAAATATGGGTAAAATAAGAAATCAACACAAAAAAGTAGAGACAATTTTTAAGTGTCTCTTATATATAGAAACATGCTATAAGCATCAAATGTCTCTTATAATAAGAAATGGAGGGAGTAGTAATTAATATTAACCGTAGAGATTCGTACGAAAATCTGTGCTTTTGACTGGTAAGGTGGTGGCACAATTAACATGCATGATGCGAGATAGAGGAGTGATGAGAGCCCACATCCAGGGGCCACTCAGTTTCCCACCCCTCTTTTTTTTAATTTCATTTCCCTGCCTGCGTAGCTTCTTTGCACTCATACACGCATCTACTTTATTATATATTAACATACATCATCAACTCATTTGCATAGTTTGATGATGTGTGCAGTGTGTGTGCGTGGTTAATTCTTCTTAAGCCATATATATATATATATATATAGGGGATATCATATATATGGATAGATATTAGCAATTTAAATATACACATTAACATCAAGGGCCCCGTCTCTTCACTTCACATTCACGATTATTAAGTAGTGTATGTTGAACAAGGAGGCACATAGAGGAAGGGAAGGTGGTACCTGCGTGTATATATATGCCTTCCTCTCTCGTCCAATGTCATGCATCAGGATTTAATTTAAAGTTATTTGTGTCCTCACTGTAAACGTCATTATATTGTTATATAAACCCACTTGTATAAACTGTAGTTGTTTGTGCGCACAACTATCTCCGTAAAATTGACTCACTCTGTACAAACTGAAACAAGAGTTGCTAACTATAGAAAAGTAGAAAACCACGCCCATATATATATATACTCCTCCGGTCCTTAATATAGGACTCAATTCTTGAATTGATTTTGGTCCTAAATATAAGACCCATTTCTTATATTTATTAATTTTCTCTAAATTACCCCTATAGATATTCTCTCAACCATAATCAAGTAGAAGAGGGAGATGGGGTATTAAGAAAGATAATTATGGTGTTTTAGGAAAAATGTGTCACTTTCTTTCTAATTAACTAACTTACCTAACTTCCTTAATCTAATCAAATTAGTTAAATGGGTCTTATATTAAGGACCAGAGGAGTATATATATATATATGCGCACAACACACACATACATATATACATATATATACATATATATATATATTATGCGCGCGCGCGCCCTTGGGGAACACACGCACGAATGTGTGTATGGGAAAGAGAAAGTGGAATACTATGAGACAGGCTTTTGCGGAAGCAGCATGCGCACTACATGCTGCACCCAGACGCTATGCTGGTCCAGGTTAGGTTTCAATACTGAGTATGCAGTTTGATTATCATCATTATTATTCATATATGTGCGTGTAAATATATACTACCTGAAGACCTCTTTTATAGATTATAAATAAGATATTGTAAATAGAACCGAATGCAGTATTAATTAAACATAAAGGATTAACCAATAAAAATTAGATCTAATAAAATAGACTAGTTTTTTATAATATGACGAACTGATAGTTAAATTGTCTGAAAAATATGCTTATTTAGTGTTCCATGATACCTCAAACATAATTACTCTTAATTCAAAAAATATCTGTATGTACCTGAAGGCGGGGGGGGAAGGGACTGGCCGCATCCGCACATGTGATATAGGGAGAAAGACTGGGAGGAGGAGTGACAGCCAGGACACAGGTGGCACCCAGGGGAGGTGTACTGACGGCATATCACATCCATCCAGGTGTTCAGTGGTCCCCCCACGCCCAAGGCAGGATAATATTATATAATTTTATTTAATTAATTCGGATGCGTGCGTTCCCTGTCATAGATTCTGCCCTTCTCCTGGTTTAATATTACTTCCCGTTAATATATAAACCTGTTTAATTTTTATTTTAGTTTTAAATATAAAATCTTAATCTATTTTGTCTCTCATATTTACACTTTTTTTTTTAAAATAGCCCTTCTAACAATGATTGTTCTAATCAATATACTTGATTAGTAAGGATATTTTAAGAAAGACAACACCTATTTAGGACAAATAACTAACTCAACTTACTTTTTTAATCTCCTCAAATTAGTCAACTGGTTAGTACTATGATTATACAACTTCATCAGCTCATTTGTCTAGTCCAGCTTTAGATATATATGCCATTAACTCTTCTTAATTCATAGATAGCTATTTTCCCTCCCCCCCGCTCCCTCCTCCCTTTTTTTTTGGGTGGTTAAATAGAAGGCAAGGCGGAAGAAAACCCGAATGTCGCTTTTGTTCATAAAAATGAATCTAGTCACGTCATAACATCATAGGCCCCGCCTCCGTTAGTAATAAAGGGGGTCATAACTGGTAGCCAAAAGGGAAGCTGGGAAGGGGTAAAACAACTCTGAGGCCCCTTTAGTTAGATTGCACATTCTCTTGGCAGTGTCATGAAATCTGTTCTTCATCATCATGTCATGTCCAAATGATGTAACAAATTATGAAATGACTCTTTTTACCCTTCTAAAACAATCTCGACCGCTTCTTTTCTCCTCCGGCGACCTGCAATCAAAGGATCAAATTGAAGACGGGTGGGTCGGGGAGGTCTACACACGATCTGGCTTCGTTGCTGACGGCATGGAATTTCAAAAACCAAAAAAGAAGCCCCGGATCGTGGAGGAAGATCCGGCTTCGTCGTGGAGATCCGGGTGTAGATCATTGGGCCATAATGAGGCCGGAGCCGGACCGTCTGGCAACTGAGCCGTATTCTGTACTCTTGTCGTACCTTTTTAGTGCGCCAATCGGGCTCAAGCAATGTATTTTCACTATTAGTATCTACTAGTGCTCTAGTAGGCAAAGCAGCCAATACTATTGCTTCCTTACTGATATTCTCCTTAGTTTAAATGAAAACGGATAACAAAATAAATTAAATTTATATAAGTCAATGTATTTTAAATGATCAGCGTATAAATAAATCGATACTCCATCGGGGATCTAATAACTTTTCTAAAAAAGAATAGTATTTGGGGAACAAAAAAAAAAAGAGTATGAGATGATACCGTAGAATACATGGTGGTCAGCCAGGTGGTTGATTTGATATAATTATTTCGTAGTCTCCTGCAAATCGCTCTTTCTTATCACTTGCAAGTCACATAGCTCTTTTTCAAATACTGATTCCATGTTGTTGTCTTCTGCTAATCTTGCCAAACCTTGTTTTTGGATGCCCATGGAGAGCAGGCTTGGGCTAGCCAGTGTTCTCATAAATTTCACCTCCGGGCTGCCCCGAAACCAAACCCACCACCCTCTTTCTTCTCCTCCCGCTCTGTTGTTTGTTAATTCTTTTCTGCTTCAGTTATACTACCTCTGTTTTCATATATATATATATATATATATGGTCCAGCACGGCGTGATCTCTCAAGCTATGGAGCTCCCTGAAACTTAGTCTTGCTTTGGGTTTTATCGCTTTCTCTTGTTATAAACACACACACACACACACAGAGTCCAGCACGGCCAAAAATAAAATTAAAGTCTAATTAAAAAACTGATACCAACATCGAAGTTGGAATCCGCGCTAACGAAAATTTATGAGGCCGTGGCCCTTAGACAGCTAGAAGCTAGATCGACACTTTAATTAAAGGTGCTTTTATGGGTGATAACTGATGAGATTCAAAATCCAGCAAGCAAAGTTAAGCCCTCTTAATTGTTCAGTTCTATTTAAACCCCATTGCCGTTGTATGTAGGTGCATGCGTATGCTCTTATTGTTGCCTAAAAATGATTTCTTCAGCCCTTAATTCCACAGAACTAGCAATTAAATTCAGTAGTACTATGGCATCAGGTTAATCAATCATATCACTCACACATCCACGCTCCGCAATACCCACTAAAGCTCATTTACGATGCTCAACTGTTCCTCGCCCACCATTCTTTCTTTTCACCCTATAAATACATCCTCTTATTCCTATGCTTTATACCACATAACATAGAAACTAGAGTAGAGAAGTAATTATATATAAGCAGTGCTTGAGATGGGTAAGTGGTGTATCGTGGTGCTGGTTTTTGTTCTGGCCGTGGCCGCCGCCGGGAATGTGCCAAACGAGGCGGCTGGTGTCAAGGACCAGAAGAACTCTCTCTCCTATGGCGGCATTGGTGGTTTTACTGGAAATGGTTTCGGAGGTATTGGTTCCGGAATCGGCGGATACCGCGGATTTGGTAGCATCGGTGGAATTGGCCGTGTCGGAGATGCAGGCGGCCTCCTTGGCGGTCGCGTTGGCGCCGCCGGCGTTCTTCCTCACCCTTGAACCCATGCAATGCAAGGCGATATAATAGTACCTTTAGTCTCTCTTTGTCTGCGTTCAGAAATAAATAATATAGTCTGCGTGTGTTGTTGATCATCCGCATAGACTAGAGGGAGTAAGGAGAAGCAACGTATTTTCGTATGAAGAGTACTTTGCTTTAATATTTTACGTTTCACTACTATATATGCATGCACGACGTGTTTCTCGTTTCAATATGAACGTCGAAGTAATTAATGATCTTGTGTGTGTTTTTATATATATGCTTCGGGCTTATTTTAATTTATATATCTCTCTCGAGTCTCTACTCTCCTCCTCGATGCACTACTCAACAGAAGTATCAAAACTAATAATAAGATCCTATTAGATTTACTGATGTATATACTTAATTACCCTAATCTGTACCTCCTCCTACTTTCAAAACAATCCAAAAACTAACATATCTGGAAAACGCTCGTTTGGTCTCCGGCTAACTAGCATAAAAAGTTTAGTTTGACACGCATGCATAAATGCCGAAAGCTGAGTGATGGATAACGCACACAATCACACACAGGGAAACATATCTAGGATTTTTTTTTTAGCGTCCGATCTTTATTTGGTAAATTTAATGAACATACAGTACGCGGGGGATATTAATTCCTAGAGGGCCGAGTGATGCTCATTCCTATTTCGTCACGTCCCCCAATATAATGTTTCCCGCACCAAGAAATCATACTCTAACCATCGTCCCATCAACGTCTGGAAGCCCTTCTGTGTTGCTTTGTGTTTGATACAAAGGGGAAATTCTAGTGCTCCACGGCTGTATAATTATTCTAAATAAGACAGGACTAATCACGTCTGCTCAAGTTATTATATGGATGTATATTTAGCTTAATTAAGCCCCATGGTGTGAATGAAAAGAGAATATCGAAGATTAGACTTGGTATCTGCACAACGGCAGAGGAGGTGAAATCATAATAAAAACTCTGTCTGAAATGAAGCTATTGCGGGTGGGTTGCTGAAGTTACTTATTGAATAAGAGAATTGAACAAGAGAACATATTCGAAAGTGAAGGGGTAAGCTAACATATAATATAGCTCGAGACTTGATATAGCCTCTAGAATGTCTCAAACATGAAACATAACTAATCGTGGTCATCGTGTCTTGAATACGATCTCGTCTCAAGTCAATCTGGTCAACAATTTCGTTTCCCCCGCAACTGGAAGCACAGGAAAATTAGCAGCTGGGACTAAGCAATGTTCTAAAGGATGATATGCAGGTCAAGCTTCTCTGTTCCCCGCCTGCCCAGAACCAAGCCTACCACGCTCTTTCCTTCTCCCTTCCCACTTTGTAACTGGCCTGCACCACAGAATTAAACGACCCAAAAAAACAGATTGAAAGTTCAGAGCACCCTGCGGGATTCACACTGTCCTAAAATTGGTGTAAGCACTCGTGTATTTTTCTTTATCTATTTTTTCCCCAATTATACAATCCAGCACACCAAATAAGGAAGGTTCATTAAAAACTTACTTATACCAATAACCTCGGAAGTTGGAATCTGTGCGTATGGAAATTTATGAGGCTGTAGCCTGTAAAGCGAAATGTTAGATTGGCACTTGAATATATGGTGGCACTTTTATGGGTGATAGCTGATGAGATCCAACCCTTCTTAATTGTTCGGTTCTCTTTAACCCTTGTTATAGTAGTGTGTAGGTGTATGCTAGCTCTTGTGGTTGCTCAAATGTTCCCTTCAGCCCTTAATTCCAAAGAACTTTAACCAACCAACAATTAAATTCATGAGTAGTACAGCATTGGGTGCGCAACTGTTCCTCCCCCACCACTCTCTTTTTTTGACCCTATAAAAAGATGGATCATGCAAGTTCATAGCACCAGATAGACTAGAGGGAGACTCAGGTAAAGAATCAGTTAATTAAGCAGCGTTTGAGAGAGACCATGGGTAAGTGGCGTATTATGGTGGTTCTTGTTCTGGCTGTGGTGGCCAGTGCTAGGAATGTGCCAAACGAGGCTAATGGTGTGAAGGACGAGAAGACTTTTCTCGGCTATGGCGGCTATGGTGGCGGCGGTGGGGGCTTTTCGGGAGGCGGTTTTGGAGATGCCGGTGCTGGAGCTGGCCGTGTAGGTGGACTCCACGGTGTGGGAGCTGCAGGCGGCGTCATTGGCCCCGGCATAGGCGCGGGGCTTCTTCCTCACCCTTGAATCTCTGGTCTCGGTTGTTCCCCCTGGGAAAGAAATAATATATATATATATATATATATCAGTTTGCGTGTGTTGCTTCTATATAATCCAAATCGCTAAAAATAAAGTAGCGTGTTTTGTTAATATTATTAGTGTTTTTCATATTTGAATAATAATACGTTTCACCACGATGCATGCACGACGTGTGGTGATCTCATATATCAGTTTGAAGTAATCAAGATCAATCTGGTGTGTGTTTTTATACATGTTTCGTGCTTATTTTTGCTGTCATCTTTAATTTGATGCTTTCAACAGAAATATTCTTTCTACTGATACAATTAACGTAGGAGAGCTTTGCTGCTCCAGCCTTCAGAACTTCAGATATATGGAAAACGGTCGTTAATTTGGTTGTTCGGCCAACTTATACGGCAAACAAACGAAGAACTTAATTAGCACGCCATTCATTTTTGCTGCGCGGCTTGAGAAGTAAATTCTTGGGGTCCGGCCATTATTTGGTAAATCTAAGCAACAGAACAGGGGATGTTAGTTCCAACGGTGGCCGATCGAGTGCTTCTTATATGTCATCATGAACCACCTTCGCTCAATTTGCACCACTAATGGTACTAGTGTAATATAATAATATAATTAATATATGTCCTCGGATTCTCTCGTCACCTCTAACAGGCCATCTCATGAAAATCAAAGAGGGGCAAGCGATTCTGTCAGAAAATGGAAAGAACTTGCATATAAGTTTACTAAAAAGCTCAGGATCTAAGGAGCGAGGAGTGAAATAACAAACGCAACGTGCATACCCGGGTGAGTAGATTCAAGAAGGGGCGGGTCCGAAAATCTTAAACATGTTGGAAATTAAATGAAGGGGTTAACAGTGTGTAGCCTCTGGGTGGTCCTAAACACGAAACATAGCAGTGATTATATGATTAGTAAACGGGTGTGGAGTAAGGAGGGAGTATAGGGTACCAAGGAAGGCCTTTAATGCGCAGTTAAGGTTTTTTAAATTAATGCTGGTTTGGTGTAAGCTTTGCAGATCTTCTGATTAAGAAAATGGTCCTCTGCTTTAATATCGCTTTGGTTCTCTGCTTTCAGCTTTCCTGTTTACTACAATTAACGTAGGAGCTTTTTAATATTCAAAATATTATTTTTATTGTAGGTTTTAATATTCAAAATATTATTTTTATTGTAGGTTATGTATCCATTAAAAAAAAGTTTTTAACAAAACAAAAGCAGAAAAAATCAAATTTGGTTAATCCATATTTGATGAGCATTATAATAGTTATGATTGCGATGTGCAGCAAAACTGGGATATTCCTTAATTTACTTTCTAGTTTCTAGTGATCAATTTATATTTAAACTTCATGTTACAATCCTCTTATATATTGTGATACTTTTTAGTTTGAAATATTTGGTTTTAATTTATGTTTCGAATTGTAAAACAGTAATGTTATATTTAAAATTTTTTATAATATCTTTTAAACATCGACTTTGTAAAAACCAAAAAAAATAGTTAGGAAAAGTTCTCTAGATATATATATTTTAAAATTAAAGAAGAAACATAAATTATTCCAATAAAATTTTAAAAATAATTCATTCATAATTGTGTTGGCTAAAAATACATAAGAAATTAAAAAGAGTTTACATTGCGAAATTTTTTTATGAAATATAATTTTTTCGTAACTCAATATCATATAAATAAACTTTTTGAATCATTCAAGTACACGTGGATATGCAGTGCAGGATGAACTCGGGGAGCCAGCATGCTTAGCCCGCTTTTTAAATTAGTTTTTTTAAGAAGAAAAGTAAAAGAAAATGAAACCCTCAAGCAGGTAACCTTCCCGGGCTTCCCCTTTCATCTTTGCCGCCTCTTTCCTCTCCGTCTCTCCTTTTGCTCCGGCGACCAGCACCACCCTCCTCACCTTCGCCCTCGACTCCCACTGTTGCTCTGGTCTTGGTCCTTCGAGCTCGAGTTCTTCCACTATTTCCGTGTCTCTTCACCTTATTGGATATCTCTAGTTAAATGGGTCCTCGACAATGTCAAGTTTGCAATGAGACTCAATCAAAGTACAAGTGCCCTTCATGTTATACACCTTAGTAAGTAATACTCTGTTCTTTATTTCTGATTAGAGACGGTATAACTTAAACCCACTCTTTTTTCAAATTATTGAAAATTATTACTCCCTAATTTGATTTTATCTATTGTATTTCCAGCTGCTCTCTGGCCTGTTTTAAGAAACACAAAGGTATGAAATTATTTCATGGTACTTTATGGGTGTTCTCTCATTGATTGTTTGCTTGCTGTCTGTTTAATTTTCCGCACACGGATCAGTTAGAGGAGTGAATTTTGTATCATATCAGATTAGCACCGTTGCTTCTGAGATTTTTCGTAGTAATATTGAACACTTAAACTGATCTGTGCTTGCTTCAATGTTGCAGAAATTCCATGTGTCAAGCCACCACCTTCAGAGCTAAAAACGAGTAAGAGTTTCCTTGACTGGTATGACTGCTGGAATTGCCAAGATATTTTCTGTAATCTTTATGCGGTGTGATGAATTTTCCTTCTCAACCCTTTCCGCGAGGAATAATAAAGTTTGGAGTTTTACTAAGATGGGTCCAATGATAATACTACATGTTTGTTCTCATTTTATACTTTATAATAAGGATTCTGTTTTCTCCAGCTTCTTTATCTACCTTGGGGCATTTTCAGTTTAGTATTATGCCAAATTGAGTGACTCAAGTGGCTTGCTCTCACCTTGTAGAATTTTTTACAATTTTCTTGGAGGTCTTTCCTTTCCCCTTTTATCTCCCAACTCTGACACCTTGCTTTCTTCTCCCTAATTTTGGGTTTCAATACTCAATGTACGGTGGTAGACAATACGTCTAGTCTCATTTTTCCCCCCAAAAACCTTTCTTAGTTTTGTATCTGTAAATACTATTAAACAGATCAAATTTTTGTTAATGGAATAATATGCTCCTGGACCTGCAACATTATTTTTACCGTCAGGCCAGTGCAATCTGCGTGGTTAAATTTGCTTCAAACTAGCTTTTACACAGCAATTCGTTGCTCTTAGGGGCTATCATGAATTGATGTTTGTTTCTGTATATTCGTCAGCTACCATTGCAGAGTCACATGTACAAAAGCCAATAGTTGTTGATGAACCCAGCGAGGTACTGCAAAAATCCCAACTAGATGCCATAGGTATGATATTTAGAAATTTGCACTTGGAACCCCTTCCCCCTTACCACGCATTTGCATTTTTGCGTTTGTATTGACCTTCCTTACCCTCAATGATTGGGAAGATCTGCTATACGAGCATACAATGATACATAGTATATATGGTATATCGTTTTAATTCTAGTTTATTTGCAATGATCTGTTATTACTATCTTTGTTATTGTTCAAGCATTTTTTCCCTACAGGCAGGGTAACCGTTGGTTAATCTATTCTTTTGTTTTATCAAGTGATTATATTCTTTTTGCAGCTTCTTCCAGTAAGATTCGCAGTGCTTTGAAGGATAAAGCCCTTCAAGGACTAATTTGCAGGATCGATTGTTCCCCAGATGCTGAGAATGTAAGTTGTCAATCTTTACTCAGACGCTCTTTTCTAAAATTTCACGCTTTATCTATGCCTGTGGGCTGTTGAGTGGCTAATCCAGCATCTTCAATCAGACTATGGTCCTTAAATTAAGTACGCTAAAGTTTGAGCTAAAGAGATATTTCATTTGAAAATTTGCGGCTCTGACCAGGTACTTGATAAAGCCATGACGGAGGAACCAATGCGATTGTTTGTGGAAGAGGTAATGCGATCCACTGTTACTCATATTTAGGTTGACTCACATTGAATAATCTGAGTTTTCCGATGCCCTTAATCTTATTCTTACTCTTTTAATCTGGTTTGCAGATTCTGTCAGTAATCAATCCATAAGTTCGAGCAACTGTTTCTGGTAGGATAATATGTGGTAGATAGTTACGTACGCGTTCCAGATGGGAGCCTCCAGATTATGCCAGTTGTTAACCAATGTTGGTTTTTTTAATGATCTATGCGGCCTCCCATGACTTAGCCTTGGATCATATTTATCGTCTTTATTGGGCATGGTCGTAGGAGTATCTGCAAAATTAGTTCAGAGTTTGACAAGAGTGTAGATGGGAATAGAATCCCCAAATTTGTTATAAGTAGATTTTTGGCTTCTATAGATGTGTCGAGGTGTATCTATAACTATAATTCTGACATTGATCACCCTGTTAATCGTTTTGTAGATTACGATTTTCAAAATACCATGGTATGTAATGATTCCTTTTTTACATGTGCGTATGCATGGATGCATGTGTTTCTTATGGGCGTCTCAAGATTTTTCCCTCAGTCGGCATTTGAATGATACAAGGATGCCTAATAAAATCCTATTAAAACTGAAATCAGATCATCCACGGGCATCAATGAATGATGATGATAACATCGCAAAGAAGGAAGAAAAATGAAATTGAGTCATGAAAAATAGTATTATACTATTATTTGGTTGAAGATTTTCATTTATAATTCCCCCAGTTCAATGACCGGACAAATTGTGGGAATTGTTGCTTGAAACAATAATCTGGAACAAATATAAGAATGTTGAGATCACGCTGCAGAGAAGAGCCTGCATTTCCGCGACAGGGCAATGCATCCATCTACCTGGTTCCCCCTCTAGAAGCCAAAGAACAGAGCATGAAAATTTAATGAGGGATTAGGAGAGGGTAAAAAAATAGCCTATTTTTGCTAGCCCGGTGTGCTTACATGTCGATCAGCTTGCTACTGAGAACTGGTAAACATTTTGTCCTCGAACGCAAAACTTGGCAGCTGTGATTGAAAATAAGACCTACAATTTCACAAGATCATAGTTAATGGCGGTCATTTTTATTTCACGCTATGTAAGTCATTCAGTACTTACAATATTAGAGCTGCTGGTATCAGCAAGGTTTGATCAGCTCTTGAATGGAACCATGAGAAAATCATCCATTTTCTGCATTGCGTCCAGAAAAATCAAAATGCTTTAGACGATGGAATGGGATTATAATGACTGAAGCATAGAAGAAGACGATACACTTAAGTTCTCTCATTAATATCAGATCCCACTTTCATTAATGCAGTAAACCACAAGAACCTTGTGTTATTATGTGCCGGGGAAGTCTGTGACACAATTATACAGGCAGCCCCGTTGCCCCTCAATAATTCTTGTCCTTTTATTTCCACAGCAAGAAGCTAAGTCTTGAAGAATACAAAGTATTCACCTGGCTGATGATTTTCTGGATTCTCACGGGCCCTACTGGTACCTGGCTTGCCGATATCTTGTTGCATCATTGTCTGATTCTGAACAAGGAAATGAACCTTAAATAAGCGGTCCTCCCGCAGTTACACTCATTCAACATTCTTTGGCCAAAAAAATAAAGATTCAGCATTGATTTTCTTCTGACACTACTGAACAAGATCCGGAACTCGAGTTGATTTTTTTCTAATTTCGCCAGGGCTACTATCACAGACCCCTAATTGTTACGCCAGATATGAAGTAAATAATTTATTCTATCTGCCATCAGCCTTGAAAACCAGCAGAGTTATTAGACATTGAACATCAGAGGACAAATTTACCTGCATTAAATGGCACTGAATCTGGTGGGGACCAAGGTATTGGTGATAAGCTTGAGTGAGGTTTGGGATCCGTGAGTGAATAGGATCAGATGAAGTCAGCGAGGGAAGCATGTTATCTGGCTTGTTTGCTGCTTGCATGCTGGATAAATCAGGTGCAGCAACATGGAAAGGAGGAGGCACAGAAAAGGACCTTGGTCCCATATAAGCGGGAACTGCGGTGGCGGCCGCGATATTAGTAAACGGCATCACTGGTCTGTTCATTCCCATTTCCATGCCCACCATGCCCATTCCCATTGCTGGCATGTACTGCTGCATTCCTGGGTACATCATGGGTAACATTCCATATCCCATGGACATCATCTGCATAAAGTCAACTCCATTCTTGCTCTCATCAGAAATCATGCTATTCGAGTATAACACATGATGGTATATGAGTGTAATAACGCATTCACGGACTCACAGATGAAGCTACCTGAACTTGTAACTGCAATGACTTCAAGTATTCAATTGCTTCATCCAGCATTGAAGCTTTGTCAGACTGTAATTAAGGGGGAAAAAATGACGATATTAGAGAAACTGCAATGAAGAACAAATGCATTTAAAATATTGTTCCTTGTGATGTCAACAAGAAAGCAGGGAGAAGATCAAAACAGCCTGATGACCTTATTGCACCGAGGAATAAGTTCTTGTAAAGCTCTCATCTTTTCCTTAATCCTATCTCGACGTCTCTGCAAAATAATGCAAGTTGGAAGCTTTCAGCCTGGGAGAAACACAGCAGAGGGAAATCATTCATTTTTGGAAGTAATGTACAGTACCCTCTCCGATAGATTATGGACCTCCGCAGCACGGGATCTCTTCGTTGATTTCGATCCGCGAGCTTGTTTTCTTGCCTCCGCAGATTCGTAATCCAAATCCTTTTTGCAGCCACCCAAATGGACATAGGTAAGAACCCCACGGAAACACGGAAAAGCCAAACAGGCAACAGAAAGCAGAAAACAAGAAAGAACCTAAAGTTTGATGATGAATAAGCAATCTGCCTTCAGCCTGGGCTAACTAACATATAGAGGAATTGACGAGCTCAAGTGCATCGGAAACCAGTACGAGTGTACAGCATAATATTCTGGCCAAGAAAGAAGTACAACTTTTTCATGCAATATGTATCTCCTACACTAAAGAGGTCAAATACTGATACATTTTATAAAGCCTCTCATGAAGCCATTTATCATGGACTGCTGGGGGTATCCCTGTGACTCCTAGCATCACAATGTTTAAAATCTTCGAATCACATAAATTCGCTTTCGTGTAAAAATAGCTCAAGTGCTTCTGCGTTTTTTAGGTCCACAAAAACTAATTTTTTTTTTTTTTCCGAAAGCGTTCAATTCAATTGCAGAGCAGGGGTTAATCCACGTCATCAACTTCGGCCTTTACAAGCCGGGGGAGTTTGTTTCGGAGTGAGCGAGTGACAGAAACTGAAAATAAAATAAAATAAAAGGAACCGTCAAAATGAAAACATTCACTCACCTCGATGTGACACTCTGAGTCATCGGCTTCCCGCCCCTTCCGCTTCCGATCCTCCGCCGGCGACCTGTCAGACAGTTCTGCACTCCTAGTTGACCCTCCGGGCGACGAAGTTGCCGTCATCTCACACGCCATCACCTCCGTTCCTCCACCGGCTGTCGTAGTCGAAGGCCCTGCAATCCCTGTAGTACTCATGCTCCCTCGACAGGCGGCTCCTTTGGTTGGCTCCGCCGTGCTTCTCACGGCGTCCGAGACTCTGGGAGTCGCCACGACTGCAAGAGTGTCGCATGAATCCACCACCGTCGATTCCCTAGCCGCGGTCCTTGACCTCGATGGCCCTGATTCAACTCTCGCATTGTGTTTCGAGAAGTGCTCGGATTCTTGCATCTTAGCCTGTGGCCCCCATGTCGGAGGTATAGGGGGCGTAGGAGTAGCTAATGACGTCGAAGGCTGCCCGAACTCCGTCACCTGAGGTGCTCTGACATTGGTTTGCATGGTGGCACTGTTGTTGACGGCGGTGTGTGGCGAGTAGAGGAGGTCCGCACTGAAATTGTGATCCAGGGGAGAATCGTCGACGATGGGGCAGTGAAGCCAGGAAGCCATTTCGTCTTCTTGCACGAACAGATGTTGGTTGCTGTAGTTTTCCGCTTGGGGTGAGGGTCCAATCTCAATCTCCGTCGCCGTAGACGGCCCGGAAGCAGTCACATCTCCGGACGGCTTGGGCGGCGGAGGTTTTCTAAGAGTCCGATGGTTTAAGCTGGGCAAAGCGACGGGGCCGTTTTGCCAGAAGAGCTCCATGATTCCATCGTCTGGCCTGGCACAAAGAGGTCAACATGAAAGCAAGCTCACAGCGAAGAAAGTTAAAAGAGATATAAGAGCTTTAGAAGAGCTTACAGGAAGGGTCTGTTAAGGGGAGTGGGGGCAGAAGGCAGGGGCATGGGGTATTCATCGTGACGATCCATTTGAAGCTGGAAATCTGGGACACCGTGATTCATAATTCGGCCGTTGAGCTAAAAGGAAAAGGGAATTCCGAGAGAGAGAGAGAGAGAGTGAAGAAGAAACCCATGAAACTAAAATAAACGACAACTTACAGTTACAGCGGCAGCAAAGCTGTGGAGTATTTGTGGAAGAGAGGAGGGCAGGAATTGAATGTCTGGAGAAGAAAAGAGGAGATAGCGGGTGTCGAGGGAGTAACAGTGGTGCTTGCCTTTTGCGTTAATGTGGTTGGGAGAAGCCGGGAGGCTCTGGTAACTGTTGCCCAAAAACACGAAGCAAACAAACATACATCTCTCGCTCTCGTAGAGGACGAAAGCCTTTCTTAACTCTTTTGTAGGACTTCCATCCACCTCGCTTCTTCTTGTCTCTGTTTAAACCCCCCACTTTTCTTGCACTTCCACGCTCAATTCATACGCAGTCTAATGGTACCTGCTTAATCCCATGTTGCTATGCCTCCGCTTACTACTCATTTTCTCTGCTTTGTTAATACTATGAAGTGCGTCTTGTGGGCCCTCTCTCCTTGTTTCCTTGTCTGGTGCGCCCTTCCCCTCCCCAAGAAACGAGATGAAATGACAATTGAGGACTCGGCTGCAGTTTTCTGTTAAGAAAAATGTATGGCCTCTGGTTCCACTTCCTCGTATGAGCAGAGTATACATGACATAAATGTCAAGACCCGCGTTAGTAATGGGTGGGGTTTAACGTTTTCTGGGAGAATCTTGTTCCTTTAATTTCTTATTTTCCAATGACGTCGTGCTGTGTCTGCCATCAAAATAGAGAACCTCTATGCCACGCTCATCATTTTCTAATCTCTGCCTGTCAGATATATATAAGCCCTCTGGTTTCTCCATACATCCATCTTCTCCATTCTCAACATCCCAGCTTTTCCTCTACCAATATTCTCACTTCTTGTCTCTGCATGGCTTAAGTGTTCAACACATGTGCCTTTTCAAGTTTCAACTCTCAACCATTCGTTCAAGTAATTAAACAGCCGGTCCATTTCTTTGTTTTTAGCGGAGTACTAACTCCGGTCCTAATTATAAAAGCCAGTTAACTAATTTGAGTAGATTAAGAAAGTAAATTGAGTTAGTTATTTGTCCTAAATAAGTATTGTCTTTCCTAAAATATTATTGCTAATCAAGTGTATTGATTATAATTCTTATTATTAGAAGGGCTACTTTGGAAATAAATGTATAAATATAAGAGATAAAATTGATTGGGGTCTTATATTTATGATTAAAATAAAAATCAAATAGAGTCTTATATTAAGAACCAGAGGTAGTATTTGGCATAACCACCGGTTTAAGTAACAAAAATAATATGAGTTTATTAGTTAATAAGCTTTTTTTTTACAAGCATGTTTTTTGACACTATCGCAGCTGATAACTTGTCAGCAGTTACTAAGCATTTTTATTGCTGTAATTACATTATTCTGCTGCTGTTGTCTTTTCACTCGGACTGGAATTTGTTCCGGTTGGGATGTGGCTTCACGGTCTTGACCCCTTGTTTTTTTAAACAATGTGATTGATCCTTTTTTTCCCCCAAAAAAAAAAAAGGAGCCTTTGAATTCTGTTGAAAACTTATCAACGTGATGATCGAGGAGAACAAAGCGTGGTACGTGCAAATAGCGTAAAAGTCTAAAATTTGTCTACTTTTTGTCTGTGACGTAGGCACGCGTGTTTGTGTAAACTAGCGGTCCTCATTTTGCCGAGCTCGTCCCCTCTAAGCACACCACGAGAGCACATCCGTCTGACGATGTACTCAGGATAATCCAATGTATCAATTAAAACCGAAATAATTTCTACTTTCTGTAAGGATTTCGAATCTGGGAATGAACTCATGAAGCCACCAGTTTGTGGATAAGAGACTGAAAAGCAACTTTCAATGTTAAATTAATTCGTGCTTCTTTGTTTTCTTTTCTCCTCTTGTTTATCTTTAATCAAATACCGGTACTTTCTGTTTGGCACAATCATTCTGGTGTCAGCCATAGACGAAGCTAATTAATTACCTGCGGACGATGGTGGGTTTTACACTTTTGCTCCAAAAAGGTTGAGTGGAAAACGGCAATTAACGATAAACCGTCCCAACATATATAATTAGAAGCATAATGCATGATCCCAATTTATAATATCTTCCATTGACGTAAGCTTCCAATGTGAAAAATATACTCTTTTGTACTTAATCTATGACTTAATTAAAAATTAATATTTATCTTATATATAAGATCTAATTCATATGTTTATTATTATTTTTTAAATTAACCTTATTGACATTCTTTCAATAATAATTAAATAGGAGAGAAAGAGAAAAAATTAAGAAAAATAATTAAAACGTTATAGAAAGCATCATTAGTATATTCAATTTAGTTTATTAGGTTTTATATTAATAACAAGAGGATTAATATTTATGCAAGCATGTTGAAATTTTATCAGAGAACAATTAAGATAAGGGTCGAGTCAAATCATTAGACGCGAAAGCCCGACCAGACTCAAAAATGAAGAGATAGAGCCGCGACAAGACCAGGTTTGATAGTGGATGAAATGTATAGCATCAAACAGGGTGTGACCATTATATTCCGATTCCAACCTAATAATCCACATGCCGTGAATTGCATATGATTGTGGGCAATATGCAGCGGATTTTGTCGCAGCGCTGAGATAATCCATCTGCATGTGACTCGTCGAACTTACTGTTTAGAATAGCGTTGCTTCTGATTATAATGCCCCAGACATGGATGTCCAATCAATGGATCGATCATGGATGATTATATATGACCACACACAACATTATCAATCCTAACATGCTTGCATAAATAATTTCACCTCTACTCTTGATTATAAGATTTTATTTGTAAACTACAAACGAGATCTTATGATTAAAATAAGATATTCCATTGAAATGTGGTGGGATAAAAAATGCCAGGCTATATCAGCTCTGTCAAGAAAGGTTAAGGGGGTGTTTGGTAACTTTTAAAAAAGTGTTTTTAAAAAGTATTTTTTCATAAAACAAAACAAATTCATCCATATATTTACTTTATAAACCATAAAAACATTTTTAAAACTATAATTTAGTTTATATCCAAACACTTTTTAAATACATAACTCATTCCCGCTATATAACATCAGGTGATTAAATGGAGGGAAAAAGTTAGGGCGTCAGTGATAACTGATTCTCAAAAGATTAGTAAACATGGATAGCTTTTATAATGCTCATGGAATGAGATCATGTGCGTTACAGGTAATGATGTATGGCTAGATATGACGCACTGAAAGGACTCCTAACTAGACCATCACCATCAATGGTCATTTCCGGACAACTTTTTGAATGTTAATCCAGAAGTAAACGAAATATTCATATATAAGTTACATATAATCTGTCATTTGGACATATTCCATTATTTATGCAAATTTAATAATGACGGATGAGGGGACTAATTCACTAGTTTATTAGTCAGTGGAGCTTCCGTCTGTACATAATATTCCAAAACACTTATGTGAGTTCATAGTCTAATAAATCAATTTATTCACAACAAGAACTCGTGAGATGATTAGAAAGGGAAAAGAAGTAAGGAGTAAGCAATGGTTTAGGATTTATGTAAGCGGTGAGAATGTTGTGGTGGGCACTATAATGCAGTGATTTGAAACGGTGCAAGTGGAGAGGCGGAAGCTGCGAGGCAAACAGGGTACGGTGGGGCCCGCAATTAAGAGGGAGTAGATAAGTGACTGGCGTACCCCGAAGGGAGGGTCCCACATGATGTGAGGGGGTTCTGACTTCTGATTGGAGAACGAAGGCCCAAACGTGGTTGACTTGACTTTTTCCCTCTAAAATATAGGTATGGTAACGTTGAAGATAATTTTATTCGAGACACTGTCAGACGCTAAATATAGACATCTCTCCCAGTAGAGATTTGAATTTTGGTGTGTCACGTTATGAGAAATTAGTTTCTTCTGCTAGATCCAACCTTATTGGTGACTTGATACTGTTCTCTCCGTAAAAATGAGGAATGTTTCTGCCACATGCCCTGTCTAGCTGGGAATAAAAAGGCCCAATCGAATGAACCCTCTGTAAATCTCTCTCTCTCTGTTTTTTTTGTTGTTGTTGCCAACCTCACTCTCTCATTTCATTCATTTATCTGTAATATTTTTCTGTCCCCCAATCACCAATTATCCCTTTTGCTTTTACATTGTTTTAGTTTTTGCGTGAATTTTGAGTTGACTGTCCTGTTTCACATGAATCTAAAAGAGCATTAGAAGCTAATCCTTGCTTAGCCAACGCATCAGCTAAAGGGACAAACCCCATTTAAAATTTTAAACGGATGTACCGATCCGCTAAATATATCCGACTCTTCTTGCCCTGATTTTGGGCCTTTACTTTTCTCTTTGGGCTACTACAGGCCAGCCTATTACCTCACCTGGGCCCCCACAGATTTTCCCTGCCTATTTTCATTTTCTTTTTTGTTGCCAAATAACAAAAAAACCTCTCAAAGTCATTTCCTTCGTAAAGTTCCTTCTTCCGAGTTCCTCGCACGCTTCATGTTTATCACAGAAAAAGAAAGAAAAAGGTTATTTTCGCAAGTTTCGCCATGAAAACAGACATGTCCTTTAAACTCATAAACTGCACTTCAATATTTTATTTTGAAACCCAATTCTCTGCCCTTTTCCCCCCCTGCACTTGTGAATTTGTTTTATTATTTTTTTTTAAAAGAAAAAATCTGCACTCTTGACCAATGATGTTAAGCTTGAAACCTTGAGAGTCAGAAACAGAAAAGGAATAAGCAACGTACGACCAGTTCCCGATCACCATTCTTTTCCCTTTCCCTCTCCCACCGTGACTATTGGGTGCCACTTGAAGAACTCTACTTTAAGTTATACTCGAAACCTTAAATTCCAATGAGCAAAATAGTCCCCCCCCCCCCCAATTTACAAGTGCCTTTACGATCTCTTCATGCTCTTATTTATAAATCATTTTACAAGGTTCAGGAACCGAAATTAATTTTTTTTTCAAGGTATCCTTGATACTCCTCCGGTCCTAATTATAAGACCCAATTGACTTATTTGAGGAGATTAATGAAGTAAGTTAAGTTGGTTATTTACAATAAATAAGTGTTGTCATTCCTAAAATATCCTTACTAATTAAGTATATTGGCTAAAACTATCATTATTAGAAGGATTATCTTGGAAAAAAATGCATAAATATAATAGACAAAATGGATTAGGGTCTTATAATTAGGACCAAATAAAAAGTCAAATGGGGTCTTATAATAAGGACCGGAGGAGTATATAAATATTATTGTGTAATTATGATAGAAGACTTCAGAGATGGATAAGATTGTTATGATAATTTATTGCATTTAACTAAAAATCGTTTTTTGAGAAAAATAAAGCATTTTTATCTACACCAACTAATTCTAGTTAACTTTTTTTTTTTAAAACAAAACTATGTGAACTAGTTAAATGTGTTTTATAAACGGGGAAAAATAGAAAAGGAGGGAGTGAATTTTCATTAAAATGCACTCATCCCGGATATTGCGTCTCATTAATTTAAGTGGTAATTGAGAGACCCCATAACAATCCACAAATGACTACAGTACAACCTCACAAACCCCGAAAACGTTTTTGAAAAAAATAAGAGAAGTACAAAAATACCTCCTTAAATTTGGGGTCACACTTGCAAATATAGTTTTTTAAACATTTTAAAAACATAATCATGAAAATAAGTCTCTTTAACATTGCCATTGCTTTTAGATGTGAAAGTTTGAAACGTACCTGCGTAATATATGCTATGGAAAAGTTGGAAGCGCCGTGTGTAAAAGAAAATACTAGAGTCAAGAGTAAAACAGACAAAGCGCGAAACTTAAAGTTCCAAATTTAGAAGCTGAAGGTGACTTAGCAGCAGGTTTTTTTTTTTTTTTTGGGGCTTCCACCAAACAAACCCTACTATATAACAGGTGGATATAGGACAACAGTAACAAGTGTGGAAAAGTGTAAACTTAAAGAATGATCAAAGAGGGTTGATACTGCGAACAAGTGAAGAGAGGTCAGGAGAAGTTAAGGGTTTGTGAAGGAAGAGATCGATGCCAGCTTTCATGAATTCTTCAAGTCTTGCTTCTTCGCTTCTTGCTGATACGCCTGCGATCTTGCTTCTGATCCCCATTGCTCGAAGACCCCTCGTCGCCTTCATTTTCCCCAACATGCAATAACAGATTCAAGAACCTACCCACACTTTAATTAAATGATCCAAATCCAAAGATATAAGGGTTAGTCTGTTGCACACGTAATTACCTCGATGCCGTTCATGATGGGCATGTCCAAGTCCATGAGAATTAGATCAAAACTTCGGCCTGCTCTGTGAATGTTGATGGCTTCCTGGCCATTTTCGACAGTCTCGACGTTTGTCACTCCAACGCTGTTCAGCATTCTCTCATGGATCCTCCTCAGCATTTCTTGATCGTCAACAACCAGTGCCCTCAACTCTCTTCTTGGCGAAGAATTACCTTCCATTCTCTCTCTCTATCTCTCTCTCTCTACACACACACAATCATTATATATATGTTATATATATACGTACATACGTCGTACGGTGGTGTGTGAGTTAGCGTCTTGATGTACGTACGTGGGTGGCACTTGAAGAGGATAAAGGAATAAGGCTGTGGCTTGCACTGACCTGAACAGACAAGAACGAACTTGTTCCTTTAGAATCTCTTTGGACAGAGCAAAACCAGTGGAAGAGGATGAGGATGATGTGTGTATGATGAGAGGAGCTGGAAACACAAGGGATATATAGACACATAATAATGGGGCTCAAGAAAGGCGAAGGAAATTAAAGAAGAGCAAGAAATTAAAGAAGTGAGAGTACGATATATCAATATTGGATTTTGTGGGAAGGATCTTTGGATTTGGTTGAAAATCTGAATAAATCTGAGGGAGAGCGATGTTTTCCAGAAATGGGCTTATTCCTATCGTGAGTAAACTTAGAGGGCATCTTTCCCGTTTCGTATGAGGCAGCTAGACACGATATTTCAAGAATATATTTTTTGGGGTCCTTTTGATCCTTTTGCACGCAAATTAAACCACTAAATCAAAAATCTTTTTTTTTTTTTACCTTCTTTTAAGCTTACCCTCATCTTCCCCTGGCCATCCATAGCTTCACACTCAAAACAGGCACACTTTTACCCTATTGCTTCACCTGCTTGTTTCGGTACTTTCATAACCTACGTGCTTGGTGCGTGCAAGCTATTTCACTTCCCATGCCTTTAATTTCAGTTTCCTTCTACTCTCATCTTTTCCAATTTAACTAAATTATACTTAATAATGTTCTTATTCCTTCAATAATGTCCTCGGGATCCGTCAGTGTTTGATTTTACACATTTTTTCCCTTAAAATAGTGTAATAAATGCAGTTAAATAAATTTTCTCTTAAAAATAACAACACACACACATGCAACAAGTTAATTAATTCCCTTATATAGCACTAGAAAACAGGTTTTTACATTGAATAGTTGAAACCTAATAACTTACAGTCAATAATCTATCATTTCTGCAGTAATATAATATCTCCCTTAACATTTGAGACTAATTTCATTTAAGTATATAATGACATACATTGTGCAAAAAATTAATTTCATTGATAATATACTCTTCTTTATTTATTCACACACACACACACACACACACAAATGGACTCAAGTAGTTCCCTTCCTCTTTAATTTAATTCTAACATGGAAAATTTCTCTCTTCTGTGGAAAAACAATAGTTATTGTTACTTTACTTTTGTTAAAAAGTTATTCTTACTATATGCATTGAACCCATATAGCATCTTTTAATTATGAAAATTTTCAGCCAGTGAGCTGTTCTTAATTTGTCAATATTGTTAAAAGAAAATAATAAAGCTTAAGAGGCAACCAAAAAAAGGACATTCACTGTAATTACGCGATGTACAAGTCCTTATCCTTTCTTTATCAACAAATTAAAGCATGGTATGTTAATCGTCTAATATGCACCTCTCACCGCCTTCTCTTGTGTTCACACATGCACATGTACACAAAATTCTCTATCAAATGAAGTAATATCTGAACTATTAATTAAGATAATGTTAATCATCTAGAAGATTAACAAATTATAATTATATTAAATTTAAATGTAAGCTTTTAGTTTGGATTTAGGGTTAACTCATTGGAATGATAATCCAACGCTTCTTGTCAAACAATAATGCCCTCCACACCTGGTCGCCATAAATGACCTCAAAACACTTTTTCATTTTTGGATCACAACAAAAATGTACTAATCACCATCACAGGTCGGGAAAAAGTTCCAAATTCGAGTTCTTCCCAAGAACAGACTCTACATTTAGGTTTGAATATGGTATGGTTTAACCAAAAAAATAAAAAGAATTTGTACGTATTTTAATTGGTTCGTTGGAAAATTTACTGTTTTAAGTAGGAAAAAAGAAGGGTGAAATTTTCATAATTATGAAATGATTTAATCCATTACATCTTAAGAAATTCTAAAAAATATTTTTCTGCTGATATTCTTTTTGTATGACTAGTACATTGAGTACAGCCTATATGCATTCCAAATTGAGTCGAAATTCGATAAAATTAAATATGTCGCAGTTCAAATAAAGGGAAATTAATTAAAAAAATAGTTTATTTCTTTCTTCTGGATTCTCCTGAGCTTTTACATTGGCATCTTGCAAAATGCAAGCAGGAGCATTAAATTTTGCAGTGTGCTTTTGTGACCCGTGAACACATTGATCACTGATCAAATATAGGTGACTGTGTAATAGGTGACTATGTTTATCAATGTTGACAAATAATCTACGTTCTTACCAATTCCCATATTTTTGTTAAAAAGGATAAGGATTTTGGCAGACACATGACAGTATGATGTTTTTCTTTTAGAAACACAACTATTCCGCCATTAACCTTAGCATGACTGGCTAGAGCTGATTTTCGTATCATGATATCATCTTTTTGCTGCTCAGTGACTATATCTTGCTCCATATTCAACGTTCGTCAAAGTTTCACTTTGACGTGGTTGGTTAATTTTATCTTGATTCTCACAAAACCTAATATCTTTACAAGTTTAGACTTGCAGAATTTCAATTCCTTACCTAAAAAGTATAAAAGAGATCTTCATTTGACCCTGACGAGGGACACTACTATCAATCTGGGGCACCCTGACCGAAGTTGATGAGAAGAACAATAACAAAGTAAAACTTTCAGAACTTGCAATGATGAGTCTTGATCATCTCTCGCGTACTCAAATGAATTCAATTTTACGAACTTTCACTCCAAAGTCCAAAGCCATTTCATACAAGGGAATATTGTTTTCTCCATGTAAATTACAATTACTGGGCAGGACGTCCCCACCACCCAGCACTCTACAAATCCAACATTGGCAGGGAAAAAGGGAGTAAAAATATATGGAATGAAGAAAAACAAAACCAACCTGTAAAACTCATGCACACGATATACAGGAATACACAATAACCAAACAAGACAATATCTGAAACTGAAATTTTTTTTCCCTTGATGCTGCGAATCATTCGGTGGCGTCAATTGGCGTGCCTGTCCTGGCCTGTGAGATTCGATTTGCATAAATGGTGACCAACTTCAACTGCGTGCTATTAAGACCTTCGAGGTATGGCAAGAATGCTTTCCCGAGCATGATGTAAATATCCACTAGGCAGAACACAACTGTCTGTACCATCCAACGCGTAGCATATGCAGTGAGAATAATGTTAAAGACAATATATACACAGAGGGGAGAAGCGCACCAGAAAAATGCCGAAACTTACATGCAACATGAGTAAAACCAATCCCTCAATGCTCCCAGACAATAATATTTTTAGATAGAGACAACTTTATTTAATATCGACCTTGTGTATATTATTAGCAAGTCACCTTGAAGGGCCGCAAAAATTAAGAAGCTCAGTTTATGAACTTAAAAGGATCATAGAGACTCATAAAGCAGATGACTAGTCATATTTTTTCAACATCAAGGAAGATGCAAAGCACGTTTATGTGGCTCAAGTATACAGAACCACAATACGAAATAAACTTACTAGCACAAGTATAATCCTTGCATCCATCCCAATGAGGTTTCATAGTACACTTAAAACTAATTGAATTCCAATTCGCCATAACAACAAAACATTTAATGGTACTCCTTGATGACAGAGCTTTTTTTATCGCCTAATAGGATGTATAGAGGACCAAAAAAGACTGATTGCATACAGAGACCTAATACCTTACGAACATCTGCACTCTGATTTCCAAAGCATCAAAAAGAGGAGGCAGAAAGGAGGGTAACTGAGCCATCAATTCCTCCCGAGAAAGCCGGCCAACAAGCTGAACACAGGAATAGCACGTGTCAAACAAAATAATTATCAATATGAAATGATGGAATTAGATTCAGATGGAATTTTTCATATGAAACTGTCACTTGGTGCAACTGCAATGCTGATAAAAGGTTGCCAGAAACAATTACCTTCGTCAAGCAATTTATGCAAGTAACAAGATTTTTTCTCATCTTCAGTAACCAGTAAAGGGACGATTACCTGAATCGTTCCAAACTCAGCCATCAGCATGCACTTAACTAAGCAAGTCTTTCTTTCTCTCAAACACAAGGAATCCCATGAAAAGAAAAATTAAGGAATACATACACTTAAACATCTGAATGGATCACACTGAGACAAAACAGTAGTCAGGCAGTGATCAGCTTCATTTGAGACCTAAACAAAGAATTAAAGAGGCTGAGAATAAGAAAATTTTCAAGAAAGAAAATTTTAATGAAATAGCACCTTGGGAACAGTATCCTTTGTAACATGAAGCAGCTTTTCAATTACAATCTCAACGGACTCTTCCATGGCATCTTTCTGGGAGGAAAAAGAAACTTTCGTGTCAAATTGTCAGTCCCAAAAAATGCCCAAGAGCTAATGTGTACAGCTACAAGTATTGCAGGAATTTCACTTTTCACTGAGTAGCAACTACGGAAAATATCCTATCCTAATCAAAACAAAACACTCAAGCTAATCTTAATCACATAGAAATGTTATCCAAAAGATAACCAGAAGAACTATCAGGTCTTAAATTTTTTTTTTAAAAAAAAAAAATCGACAACATAATCAAAAATATATTTAGTTTCCAACCAGAATAATCAAGCAAGAGAACAGCACAGGACTAAAAAATTATATGAAAGAAATAAGAACCTGGTTTTTTAACATTTCAGCTACAACAGAGAGGGCAAGCTCTCTAACTGGGGAGTCTGAATCATCCAACACTTCAAGCACAACTGTCAGAATCTGATTGAAGAACTGCAAGATCACCAGGAAACTATCATTTCATCAAGTGAACAAATCCAAAATTATCGTTTGATGTGGTCAAACATAAGAAAACAGATTTTTTTTTTAACTGATTAAACATAAATATCTGTCAATCTACGTTCATGGCATCAAAAAGTTAGTAAAAAAATCACAAAATAGACAGACTAGCTCTTTCC